ATATTTACCTCAAGTAGATACACTCCTTGGAGAGAACAATCATTGAGAAAGAAGGGCTGCTTATGCACAGGGAGACAGCTCAGGGGGCATGAGTGCATGGAGGGATGGACACAGGGAAGAGGAAACTATGGGGAGGAAGTGGGAGGGGAGCTGTTGCATTGTGGTACACTGTGGTCAATGACATGAGAAAAAGTATATGTGAACCGCTGTATGGAAAGTGAATTTGGTCTGTAAACCTTCACCCAAATCACAACTACAAAAAAAATGAAAAAAGATCAACATCCAAAGATCAGTTGGATTGCTCTGCACCAGCAAAGAGATTGCAGAAAAAGAAATAAGGAAGTCAATACCATTTATAATAGCTACCATGAAAATAAAATACTTCAGAATAAATCTTACCAGGGACACAAGAGACCTATAGAAAGAAAACTACAAAATACTACTTCAAGAAACTGTAAGAGATCTACATAAATGGAAAAACATACCATGCTCTTGGATAGGAAGATTGGACATTGTGAAAATGTCAGTGCTACCCCAAAGCAATCTATACGTTCCATGCAATCCCAGTCCATATCCCATCAGCATTCTTTGTTGTTGTTATGTGCCGTGGATTTGGCCCCGACTTACAGCGATCCCTCCTTGGGTTGCGTAGTATCACTATGGAAGTATATTGTTCAACCTTCCTTCTGAGGAGTGGCTGGTAGGTTTGAACCGCAAGCCTTCTGGTTAGCAGTCACGTGCCTTAGGTACTATGCTACCAGAGCTCCTTCAACATTCTTTAAGGATATGGAAAAACAAGTTACTAATTTTATATGGAAAGAAGTGACCTTGGATAAGCAAAGCAATATCGAAGAAGAACAAAGTAGGAGGTCTCAAGCCCCCAGATCTCAAAACAGCCATAGTAGTCAAAACAGCCTGGTACTGGTACAATGACAGACACATAGATGGGTGGAACAGAATTGAGAACCCGGGAATAGATCCATCGACCTATGGTCATCTGATTTTTGACAAAGGGCTGAAATCCATTAAATGGGGAAGAGATGGTCTTTAACAAATGGTGCTTACAAAACTGGATATCCGTTTCCAGAAAAATGAAACAAGATCTGTATGTGACACCATATGCAAAAACTAACTCCAGATCGATCAAAGACTTAAACACCTAAAACTATAAAGTTCCTCAAGGAAAAAATAGGGGCACTTTTAGGGACCCTAATTTATGGCATAGACTGTCAAGCATCACCCAAAATGCACAAATAGCTGAATGGGACCTTCTAAAAGTAAATTTTTATATGCTTGAAAAGACTTCTCTAAAAGAATAAAAAGAGAACCTACAGATAGGGAAAAAATATTTGTCAATGACATATCTGACAAGGGATTTATCTTTAAAGTTTATAGAAAACTCCAACACCTCTACAACAAAAAGATTAGCAATCCAATTAAAAACTGGGCAGAAGACATGAATAGATACTTCATCAAAGAGGATGTTCAGGCAGCCAGCAAGTACTTGAAGAAATGCTTGCGATCATGAGCCATCAGGAAGATGCAGGTCAAAATAACCATGAGATACCATCTCACCCCAGCACTAATGGCAAAGTTCAACAAGACAGAAAATAACAAATGCTGGCGAGGATGTGGAGAGATTGGGACTCTCATCCACTGCTGATGGGACTGTCAAATGATACAGCCACTGTGGAGAGCAGTATGATGATTCCTTAAAAAGCTGCAATTAGACATACCATTTGACCCTGCAATCCCATTACTAGGCATATATCCTAAAGAAGTGAGAGCCAGGTCCAGAACAGAAATATGCATACCTATGCTCATCGCAGCACTGTTTACAATAGCAAAAAGATGGAAACAACCTACATGCCCATCAACAGAAGAATGGATAATCAAACTATGGTACATACATACAGTGGAATACTATGCAACACTAAAGAATAATGCAGAATCTGCAAAACACCACATAACATGGATTAATGTGGAAGACATTATGCTGTGTGAAATAAGTCAAGAAAGACAACTAGTATTTATTGTAAAAAGTCAAGGAAAGGTTTATATGTGGAAGGAAACTTCCTTTGTTGGTTGGTTACCAGGGTTGGGAAAGGAGGGGAAGGAACACTGAAAAAAAAAAAAATCAGCATATTGCACAGGGCAAATCTGCTGGAAAAGACCTCTTTAAAGTGCTGAAGATCAAAGATGTTTCTTTGAAGACTAAGGTGTGCCTAACCCAAGCCATGGTGTTTTCACTTGCCTCATATGCATGTGAAAGCTGGACAATGAATAAGGAAGATGATGACTGAAGAACTGATGCTTTTTGAATTGTGTTGGCACAGAATACTGAAAGTACCATGGACTGCCAGAAGAACCGACAAATCTGTCCTGGAAAAGTGCTGCTGTAATGCTCCTTGGAAGTGAGAATGGCTAGACTTTGCTTCACCTGTTTTGGTCATGTTGTCAGAAGGAACCATTCCCTGGAGAAGGATGTCATGTTTGATAAAATGGAGGATCAGTGAAAAAGGGAACAGCCCTCAATGAGATCAATTGACACAGTGGCTACAGTGATGGATTCAAGTATAGCAAGGCTTGTTAAACTAGTACAGGACCAGGCATTGTTTAATTCTGTTGTACATAGGGTCAGTATGAGTCAGAGCCGACTCGAAAGCACCTAACAACAACAGCCCACCCAACCCCATTAAGAGAGGGCTCAGGCCAACCATGTTCCATGCTCCTGTTCCACAGAGCAGCTGCAAGAGGTACATGGAGCCTGATTCTGGAAGTTGTTCACTGTAACTCTTGGTTCCACCCTCGGAGTCATCTTTCCTTTTCCATAGGAAATGGAACTTAAAATTGAATCCTTTCTCACCTTGCCCCTGCTTGTAAAAAGTTGAGGGACCAACAACCTCCTTCAGTTTGTTCTAAGATGGTGATGCTTCTGTCAGAGCAATTCTTAAAAATGATTGTGGGGTTCACAGCTTTAAACAGAAGCCACATCCACACAAGTCTTTGAAATTAGCCCTTCTGCACCTTGGACTCCCTGTGAAGCCCGATGGGCAGTGTAGAAGCCCACTACTTAGTGAGGTGTCTATTGAGGCACATTCCTAGGACCCTTAGAGAGCTTTTGTCTGTCTAGAAGTTGGGTCTTTCAGTATTGGATGTCCTGTTGCCTGCTTTGCATACCTACATCAAATCCTGAAATGAATTAAAGTCAAGGGAACAAGTCCCTGAGGACCAGGAGAGAGGCTGGGTTCTGTTTATCTTGATGTCCCTTCACCAGCTCAGGGTGGTCCCTGGTGCACACTTATCAATTATGGCAGGACCATCAAAGTTACACAGGAGGTGTGATTGCTGAGGCAGGGATCCTTGGCCCACCACCAACACACCACTCTTCCCCAACACCAGCTAAATAGCATTACTTCTAACTCAGACCAACTTCCTCCAGTGGACAGACAGAGGAGCCAGTGTGGTAAGTAGGTGAGGCTGGGCATCTGCCCAGTGACTCCCAAACCTAGAGGATCCCCCAAAGCAGCATGCCTCTCACTTCAGTGGTACGTAAAACCCAGGCTTATTTGCCTTAGAAAAGAGATTTTTTCTGCTGTGTACATTTCTTCTACAGCTAGTCTGGGAGGAGTACAAAAGCAATGACGGGGAAAGCAGGCCCAAACCACCCACTCTCATAGAAGATCTCATGTGTGGCGCCTGCTGGGGTTGCCATTCATAGATGGTGACAGGGGCTCTAGAATTTAGGTTCCCCGAGTCCCAGCAGTGACCACAGCAGCAGGATTTGTCTTTTGAGTTAATACTACTTCCCCTGAGGACCAGTTTCACTGGGACAGGATTACACTACCCCACCATTCAGTTTGCCCTACCACATGACAGGGCCACCTTGACATTGCCCTGTTCACAGCATGAGCTCAGTGTATGTGTGCTCAATCCATTTTGCCTTAAATTTGGGAGCTAGGCAGACCCTGAAACAAGTAGCACTCAAATCTTGGGGCCCTGAGCTTCTGACTCCTCTGAGCTTCCGTTTCCTAAGGAGAAAGTAGGGTTACAGATGCCTGTCTCCTATGGTGGCTGTGTGGGTCATAGATAGTGTGGCTGTTCAGCTGGGGCCCAGAGGCCGTTACTGTTACAATTTTAAAAAAGATTGTATTTTTGTAAAACTCACCATGAAAACAAGGCCAAGAGCCCCATGAACCCATAAAGCATGGCTTGGCCTCACATGTCTAAGTCATGGTGGGACAGATGGCCTGCAGCCCAGCCCTTAGGAAGGCTATCCTTGCCCACTGCCCCCTTTTACCCCACAGTCAAATACGACCTCAACAACCCAGCCAAGCACGCCAAGCTGGACTTCCTCAACAACCTGGCCACAGGCCTGGTGTTCATCATTGTGGTGGTCAACATCTTCATCACGGCCTTCGGCGTCCAGAAGCCCATGATCGATGTGGCACCCCGGCAGTAGGGGACTCAGGTGAGCAGGGAGAGGGCATGAGACCTGACCAGCCTAGGAACAGGCTTAGCACTGCCTGCTGTTTGCAGTTGTGAGCCTGGGAGTTGCAGGAGGCTCTCAGCCTGTCAAGGTCCCTGCCCACCATGTGCTGGTGCCTTCCCTGCCCATGGACCATGGAGACCTTTTGTGCATAGCCATCCCATCTATTCAGGGTTGGCTTGAAGTTGGCCTGTCTTTGTGCTAGCCACTGGGCCCAGCTCTCAGCAGTTGAGCAAAAATGGTTTGGAGTTGCATGCAAAAATAAGATTTCTGGCTGCTCTTGAGAAATCAGAGCTCTGCCACTGGATCAGCACTCTCCCCAGTGGTTGGCAGTAGGAGCTGGGTCTAGCCCAGGTCTTTGTGTCCCCTGCTATTGGTGGAAGAAACAGGCTAGGCATTGGCTCTGTGCCCATCAGCTGCCTGGCTGGGCCACTGATGCTCAAGGCTTATGGGGTTATGAAATAAAGGCTGGGAGGGATTCAAGATACCCTGCCTGCCTGCCTGGCCTACAGGTATCTGTGTTGTCCTGGCCCAGGGCTGAGTGCCCCCTTACTCAGTTACTGGTACCTGTGGAAGGTCACTTCAGTGCTGTCTCCTTGAGGGTAGAGGAGTTGGGAGGCCACAGGCAAATCATAAGATGAGACTCACCCCGTTCAGCCCCAGGGGAGATAGGCAAGAAGATATACTCTCTTCTCACTCAGAGAGGCTAAGGATCTTGCCCAAGGACACACAGCACAGGCAGGACTTGAAATGGGCCTGTGTCACTCACACAGTTCCCAGGGATTTAACACTGCTGACACAAAGCTCCTTCCGTGTTAAGGGCTGGGGTTCCCCAGGTGCTCAGAAACAGGCCTTCTGAAAAGCTAGAGAGGGATGTGTAACATAGGCATTGCTGACAGAGGAAGGAAATGAGCCCCTGAATCTTCTGTCAGCCTGCCTAAGGCTGATAGCATGTGGTAAGGCTATGGGCAGCATGGAACTTTGTGTCTGTAGCTACCCTAAGGTGCTGCATACTGCAGGATGGTGGAGCCCCTAATGCCTTCAGCAGGGCTCTGCTGACAGATGATAGTCTCTCAACACAGCAAACACCACAGCCTGGAAATGAACAGGAGGCTCCTGTGTGCAGGCAGAGCACCCCAAAGTCTACAGGTGTAGCTTGAATACCACTCATGAGAGGAAAGTCCAAAAATGACCAATGAGGTTGGATGGTGGGAGCATGCCTTTTTGTCAGATGTGTGGTTGAGCCCATGGCCCACCCATACCCCTCACTGATCCATGTGGTAGTCCTGTGGCCTCTAAGGCCCATGCCTACAACCCTCTGCCTCTGAGGACAGTCACACAGAGAGGGAGGGCAGGGACCCCTGGTGCCCAGTGACCCTGCTGTGGAGCCACACCCAGCCTAGGGCCTGGTGGCCCCATGTGACATCCTGTTCAGGGTCAGCTTCTGGCCTCAATTTGTTGCTAGGTCTATCCCATCTCTCGACAGAGCTTTGGATGCTAAGCTGCTCCCTTGCTTATGTCATGACCAGACCATTTGTTAATTACCTACTGTGTGTTCCAAACACAGTCCTTGAAGCAGTAATGTCCTATCTGCCTGTGTCCAAGAGGGGGCACTCAGCCTGCTGTGGCCACACAACCTGAGGGGCAGGGCAGGCCTTGAACCCCAGGCCCAGAGGACCCTGTCAGGGCCACAGGGTGGTTGTGAGAGGTGACCAGAGGTCATCAGATTCCTAGAGGGGTCCACAAAGTCCTGCTGCTGGAAGTGCACCCCTCACATGCAAAATCAGTGTGTTGAGTGGGCTTTGGTGTCAAGAGCTTTGCCTACCACCTTGCACCAGGTTTCTAATTCTGACAGTGACCCAGGGAGACTATATTCATCCTATTTTATAGAGGGGGAACAGAGGCTCAGAGGCCCATCATGACATGTCCAGATCAAGCAGGCCCTTCTGATCCCAAGCCCTACAAACCCTGGTCAGCAGACACCAAGGAGCTGTTCCTGGCTTCAGCATCCTGGGAACTCTGACAGCCAGACTAGCACTCATGCCTCTCCTCCCCCTTTGCAGGGTCACCAGTGAACTCCTTCCTGTAGCCTGGCACCCAGAACCAGGAGCTGCTTGTCCTTGCAGCATTTACCATCTGTGGCACCTGCATCACCCAAGGCTGGGGCACTGGACACCTCCGGGATGACTTTTGCCTGAGTGCCCTCGGCTGGACCTGCGTGCTGTACTGTGGCAGGCTCAGAAACTGGAACTAGAGACTCCCCTGCCCCCTGAGAGTTGTGCCCCTACCTCAGAGAGGGGCCATGACTCTGTCCAGGACACAGAGCCAGTCCAGGACAGGCCAGCCATTGACTATCAGGCCCTTTGTCTGAAGACATTCCAGAGGGAGATGCCCCCTTTCCCTCTGCTGATGCCACCAGCTTTCTGGGCCTCATGGGGTCCTGCCTGAGTCAACGGGTGATGCAATGTCTTCTGCCCGCTTCCTGGCCATGAGACATTGACAACCCAACCCTTTTGGCAATAGGGTTGGGATTGGTACCTTGGCTGTGGTCGCTCAGCCCTGTACTCACCCACTCTTGGTCCTGACAAACATGGCAGTGCCCCAAGCCCATTTGTTTTCTAAGCATGAAACAATAAAACTCCCACTTCCTTTGGGTGGTTCCATTTGCCACATCCTCCACCTGCTGGGTCGGGGCGACAAGGTCTGCTGCAGTTACTGCAGGCCTCACACCTGGGGCTGTGTGAAGCACCGTGCTGGCATGCCTTCTGGGGACTGTGAGTCTGGTGGGGTGAGCCCCAGTTGCAGAAGGTCCATCTCCAGCCCAGGCATGCTGCAGGGCCACCTCCCTCTACCCTTCCCCAGCCATGGGGCCCTGGGCAGTAATCTGGGTCCAGCTGAGAGTGCCTTCTCCAGAACTGGTGTGTGGGTATCATTTGGTCCCTGAGATTACACTGAAGCCTTGCTTTTTTTTTTTTTTTTTTAATTTCACAGTTCAGAATAAGACAGCAAATTCACTATACCCTTCACCTAGGCCCACTAACGGTTCATGTTTGCCACTTTTGTTTTATAACCCACGCTGGGTAAGGTGTCCTCAAAGCGTGGACCTATGACCAGCACTCTTGGCCTCACCTGAGCCACTGTTAGGATTGTTATGAGGCCAGTGCCCACCTTGTTCACAGTGTCCCATGTAGGTTATTCACGGGAAACTCATCAACCCATGCCCCAACCATGGGGCTGCCTCTCCTTTGCAGCCTCCCTTTTCTAGATGTCCCTTACCTGCCTGGGTGTGTACATGGCCCGACAGACCTCTTGTTGCCATATGCTGTGTCCTCATGACAGGGTCAGGGAATGCATTGTTAAGAAGAATGACCCAGAGGTGTGTCATCTAAAAGACACATTTAGCTGGTGGTCTGACTCCTGCTGGTAGTGCCTTTGATTGCTTTGATGCTCAGAAGCTGAGAATTCAGCTCTCATATTCCTCTAGGTTTCCCTTTTGAGGGTCATTGGGGGCAGGGCCAAGTGTTTATGAACTTTAGGGGAGGAGCAGCTTCTGTGTTGTTAGGACAGAACTTTTGACTCAGCAGTGCAAAACGGCTTTGTCCTTAGAGGGTCACAAGCAACTCCAAGCCTCTAGTAATGCCTTCACTCAGGCACACCAATTTGGCCAGCCAGCTCCTGAAACCCCCATTGATAAGTGTTTCCTTGGCCCCAGCCCAGTGAGGATTGAACAGAAATCTCAGCAGTTTCTCCACTTTCATGCTGGGCTCAACTACATGTCATATGTTTCAGGGTCTGGGATGTCCTGTGGTTCAGGTTTTATGATTCTTCTTCTGTTTCGTATTTTGGAAGGGCCCTGGTGCTTGCAGGGCTGTGTGGCTCTCTCAGCCTTGCCCTGACCTGCAGTCAAGTCCAGTGCTTCATTAGTCAGTGGTGACATCCTAAGGCCACCATAGAAGGAGGGGGCAGGGATGTGTGACAGGATGACATCCTAAGGCCGCAAGAGTCATTCATACCATCAGCTCATGACACCCACTCTGATCAGTGCCTGAGAGGACAAAGCTGAGTATTGTATGCATACAGTGGAGCTGGGGGCTCTACTGTGTCCTCACCTTACCCACTCTGGAGACCCTGGCCCTAACTCCTGAGGTCCCATCCCATCTCCCATGCCATGTTCCCTGACACCCTTCCCAAGCCTCATTGCCTTTCTTCTTGGCCCTCCACCCTTCCCAAGCCCCTCCACTAGCCTCCTCCATCCTGCAATGGAGTGGGAATGCTCTCGAGGCCTCTGAGGACAATAGCCTGTATTCTGTATTGTCTTACCTCTAGTCCTTCTGCAGTGTCCTGGTCTCTCACCTGGCCTTGCAAGAATCTCCAGTGGCCCTGTGCCATCCCCCTCTGTGCAGCATTCCAGAGGCTCAAGCGGCCAAAGTCCCTCTTCTCTCACAGTTTTCTCCCTCCCAACCTGGTAGAGCCTGCTGAGACTGAGGGGCTCTAAGACCTTTGAGCCTTATGATGGTTCAGTATCCCCAGTGGGCTTGTGTGTTGGCCTAGTTGATTAGCTTAGGAAAACCTCTTACACCAAGTAATAAACAGAAGTACACATGACTGAAATGCAGTGGTCCTGGGTTTACTGTAAAATATTCTAGGAAAGAAAAGCAGAGGAAGTAGAGGAAATGAGATTGAAATGTTGTTGGTAACTGTGGAATGGGGCTCATGTCTTCTACTTCTGTTTGGATGCTCCATAGGACTATGTTTAGAAATTAATCCTTGTGTCGTGTGATTGCCAATGTGCATCAGGTTGAAAAAGTAAGACATGGAGATGTGCTGGTATAAGCATGCTTGCTTGCACCTGTGGTGAGGAGGTATGGGGGATTGCATGGGTGAGTGCTGTAATGTGGGGTTTGTAAGTGGGAAACGGCACCCTAGGAATGTGGGTGAGGGTGGGAGTACTTGGGTAGCTAGGAAAGATGTTGCAGTGGGGAG